GTGGTTAGGGGTAGCTATCATATAAAAAGGAGCTAAGATTATCTCTCAGTCATAAAGGACAGACCAAAAAGATATGGAGGATGAGGAAAAGGGGAGGTACCCGATTAGAGCTTCAAGTGTAAATGCCCTAAAGAAAGTCAGTGTTGGGCCTCAGGAAACTGCAAGTGCCTCTGGGGATGGAATTCTAAATTAGCTACATGGTTGGCTAGGTAAAGTTGTGAGACTGGTGAGTAGAGGCCAAATCCTCAGATGGAGAGACTTATGGTTGAGAATTGAGCCTGAAATGAGAAATTGCCCTTAACAGTTACTTTGGGATTATGGGTAAACCAGAGAGAATTTCCACCTGGGCCAGGGATCCAATGTGTCCTATGCTCTTGTCCCAGTGCAGATAAACACAATGTCCAAATTAGATATTTCATTCACATTGTTTAAGAGAGTTTCTTAGAAGTAAGGGTGAGTCTCCTTTGATGTGAAAAGTTAAGAAGCCACTGGGCACTCTGCACTGAGTTTGGACAGTGAGAGCCTGCTCCATCAAAGGGTATTCAAAATATTATCATGTGCATAAGCAAGTCCTAGGGTTTGGGTGCTAGTTAAATTAATGAAAACAAGGGTGGCTTAAATGAAGGGCTGCTGGGAGGGAAGGAAGTTGACAATCCTTGACACAAATTCTAGGAGCTTTGTGTTACATCTGTCTAGGGAAGTATACCTCATACCTATATTGAATGAGTTATCATTTAATAGAAAAATATTACTTAGTTTTCCTGGATAATCACTATTTTAGCTGAATAGTTTTTTTTTTAATATAGAATGCTACATAGTTGCTGATTTCTGCTGGATTAAAACAAGCAATCCCAGTAGGGTGGGTGGCATCATTGGGATTCAAATGAATCACAGTAATAAATGCCGTGTTGAAGTCTCAGTACAGGCCAGGCACTGTGCCAGGCACTTACCACATATTAACCACATTCCACCTGCCCAATAAGACAGAGCTTATCAAACAAATGCACTTCACAGATGCAGAGCCTGATGCTTACAAAGTTTAGAAATATACTCAAATTCACACAGCCGTTAAGGGACAAGATTCAAACTAGACCTCTGGTCTGGATTAGTTTAGAACTCACACTATTCCAATTCTCCCAGTCTGAGGCCCACCTTGTACTTCTGAATTCAAGGCTCCCTTTTCATCTTAATAATGTATCTCAGGCAATAAAAATAAAGAATCTATGGTCATACTATAGGTTGGACTACATTCCCAGAGCAATATGAATACCAAAATAAACGAGAGGCCTGAATAGAAAGCTAATACTCGGTGACAGCATGGTCATCTATGTATGCAATGTTAGTTAACCTGAAAAGATCAGAATCTCATAAAATTATCCACAGATATCTCCTTCCCTGTAGAATATGTCTATCAGAACAGACTTAACATGAGAATCTAAGTCTGACTGATGAAGAGAAGGAAAATATCAACAATTTTTGCCTGACATTTCTTTACCTGTCTTGGGACTCTTTACTTGTGCTTCAGCTGCCCCATCTCACATCACTCCTAAAGCAGGGACCAAGGTTTGCAGAGGGAAAAACTGTTCAGGGTTTGCAGTAATATGACATTTTACAGGAAACCTTTATCCCAAGAGGCAGGAACCAAGAGGAAGACCCTAGTGTTAGAAGGCTGGCTAGACAAATATCCCAGAATACTGGGGAAGGGCTCACACACAGATATGCTTCCACCTGCTGTCAGATTTAGAGGGCCCCAGACAGAGCTGTCAGGCTGAGCATGGCCACAGTTATTCTTCAGGACTTTTTGGGACTTAAGAGCCTTGGACTAAGGACAATCTTAGGTCAGCAGATAAATAGATATAAAGGTGAGAACCTGAATGAGGAATGATGGAAGGACCCGAATAAAACAGTGGGGTTCCATAAAGTCTGTCTCAGGCTATCAAACCTTGGAGGTCTGGAAAAATACAGGTAGGATGTAGCTATCCTGACTTCCAATTTGGAGGCTCCCAAAAGGTGAATACCTTGATTTGATGGGAGCAGCCTCAGGGTAAAAGAGAGCAGAATCCCAAGAATGGTCAGGTGTCAAGGTGAGGATTCTGAATAAAAATGAGAGAACCACACATTTCCCCAATGCTGTTGTCTCTGGGATATTTAGGACAGAGTTGCGGCAGAACTTTTTAATCTTCCTTGAACTGATGGAGACAGCCTGAGATATGTAGAGAGAGAAACCCAGACCATAACAACAGCTTTGATAAAGACCCTAAATGTTATTGTAGAACCCCCAAGAGCATAGGGAGTCAAACAGAGCCACATCCTATTCTTAGACCTGAGAAACTGTCAGAGTGCTATCACCAATTACACCTATGAGGTTTCAGGGAGGGAAGGGCCTCACTTTGAAGGATACAGCCCTGGTCCCACAGAAACGTATTTTGAGACACAATTGAAATTATGACGAGAACCCTAAGTTCTGAAAATAAAAATGCTCCCTAAACAGGAGGCCTCACAGGGAACTTGCCTTCCTGTTAGGCTTATGAGACAGAGAGGAAAGAATAGACCTGTGTTACGTAATCAAACTTCCCGTCTAAAAACTCAAGAACATGAAGGCTTTGTTTAGAAAAATTGTAGACTAAGGTCACTAAAAAAATGGAGTCCCCGATTGTGATAGACTCCAAGTGAGAAACCAGCTTGAGTACCTAAGGTCCAGAAAGTACTAAACAATGGGGTCCAATAGTGCCCCCCCCCCCTCCGGGAGGCCTGTGAGGCCCAGGGCGATCATCAGGAGCAGGGCGCCCTCTAACTGCCTCACTGTAGCTCAGCAGCTTGCGGACTTTGTTTGAGGCCCAGCCCACGCGGGTCTGCACAGGGAGGGGTCCAGGCCTTGAAGACACAAAACTGGGGACCCCAAATGAGAACCTGGGGCCCGACAAATTGCTAACCAAACCTGCTCTCATCCTTCAGGCACCCTGGACAGCCCTGCTGGAAAGGACCCACCTACTTCCGCTTTGGAGCCCAGGAACTTTTCTGGCGCTCTTGCATCCTCCATCCCACTGAGGGCGGATTCTCGGAACTGGCATCCAGTTGAGGCAAGGGCCTGAGTGCGAACTGAAGAACCAGACCCCTCCCATAACGAAGGTGGGCTCCCCCATCCCTCCCGGGCCTCCAGCTCAGAGCCGCCCCAGCAGAGCCCTCACACTGAGCGCGGCCTGGAATGTGTTAGTGAGCAGGCCTTGCTCCGTGGGAGGAGCCCCGATTCTACAGGTGGGGACGCCTGGGTAGAACCTGGTTTTCCGATGAGGGCCTGAGTGCTTGAGAGCTGCTCTGTTCCCTGAAAGGGGCCACATGGAGCAGCACCCCTGCGCTCAGCTCTGGGGAGGGCCAGGCAAAGGAAACTGATGAAAAGCAAACCAACATCCCCTCTAGCGGTAACTAAGCGAGTTGGGGGTCCACCCGACCGTTCCCCAACTCGCCAAAGGCAGGCCAGGGAAGTACTGGCAGGCCGAGGTGCCCCTTCTTTCCTCAGGCGGTGGTCGGAGAGAGGTCAGGGCCTTGGTTTAGTGGAGGAACCCTACTTCAGAGACAGGGACCCAGTCCCTAACAGGACTCAGGGTTGTTACCCTGAACAAGGATGGGGGACCCCTCCCACAAACTAGGGGGCCACAGAGATTCCCAGCCCTGTTTTCAGACACTGGGCACTAGGGCTTATGGCCATGATGAGCTGCAATCACTTCTTCCCAGGCCAGCATGGGGGTGACAGATCGGGTCAAAGGGGTAACCCTGGTCAGTAGAGGGAGAACTTCTCTTTTCCCGGGCTTCATGCACAGACCGTTCAGGATGTGGGGATGTGCCACCCCATGCCAGCGGCCCACGAAGAATCCCCCCTGTCCTCAGCAGGGGCAGATGTCAAGGATAGATGTCAGGTAGGAGTGCCATCAGACCTCACGCAGTAGTATCAGGGAAGTGAAGGTCTTGATCTGAGGGGAAAGTCCCGGGAAACTGAGGGAGTAATGGCAACTCCAGCATGATTCAAATGTAGACCTTGGAGTGGGATCCTGTGTAGAACCACCTACCATGAGATCTCAGACTGCTTGCAACAGCCCGCACTCTTGGGAGATCACTTTTGGTTTGATAAGGTCAACTTCATTTCCACTTAGTGGGTCTCAGGTAGGTTGGCTTTTCCTCTGAGGAGTTCTCTACCAGAAGCCCAATGGAGGAGCCTGAGAGAGGACTCAAGGAACGAAACAACCCTGAATAAAGGAGCATCAAAGCATCCAGCCCATTCCTTTATTATCTCCCCAAGGAATCTCAGGGAAGGACTGTCAGGATGAGCATCTGCACTCACTTCTTTATATAAGGTCTAAGGGAAGTGAGGTCCTTAGTCTGAATGTCCAGCCAGCAGTCAGCCACAGGGTAGTGGTGTCAAGCTTTACAAGGAGCCAAGGTGAGGAGCTTGACTGATGGATGGGGACCCAAATGAAATCAGAACACAAAGGACACCACTAAGCTCCCACCATGGGGTATCACCTGATAGGGAGGTGGACAGAGGCTGCCATCCAATCATTTCTCCTGGGTCCCAGGGAGCATGGAGATATCAACGTCAGAGTACAATAGGTGGGGTTGCACAGGCTCTGCCCAGGTTGACATAATAATATTTCATTTCAACTAAGAGAACTCCACATGCCAGAACAAAGGGGGGCAAACTAACATCACCTATCACCACATAAGTATACTCAAGGCAGGGCTAGTAAGATGTAGAGTGTGACTCACTCAACTTTCTGTGGTTCCCCTATGGGATTCCCAAGAGACCAACTGACCAGGAGAACAGGAGCTTTATGGGTTCGTAGACTAGTGCCCTGAAGGAAGCCTGCAGAGGCAGCTTCCTATAAAGCCCAGGTGGAATCTACCTGTTGAAGGTGCTCACATCATCTCATTCTACATCCACCAGGTACCCAAATCACCTGTCCATTGACCCATACTCCTGTCTACTGTCCTGAACAACAACCATCATGCCTCGTGGTCAGAAGAGTAAGCTCCGTGCTCGTGAGAAACGCCGCCAAAACAGAGCTGAGAACCAAGTTGCTAAGAGTGCTCAGGCCACTACAGGAGAAGAAGAGGCCACTTGCTCCCCCTCTTCTGCTTTGGGGGATGCTCCCTCAAGCTCCACTGGAGCTGGCACTGTCCAGGCACCTCCAGGTGCCTCAGCCACCTCCAGTGCTGCTGCAGGTGCTTCATGTGAAAAAGCTGCTGTAAAAGCCAAAGGCCAGGTTCAGAAAAGCAAGAAGTCCTCCAAGGCCTCAACTTCCAATGAGAGTTCTGGCCAAAATCTACTAAGTAAGAAGGCAACTATGTTGGTAGAGTACCTGCTGTATCAGTTTAAAAGGAATGAGCCTATTAAAAAGACAGACATGCTGAAGATAATCCACAAATGGTACAGGAAGGACTTTCCTGAGATCCTCAGGAAAGCTTCTGAGCGCATGGATCTGTTCTTTGGCCTGGAATTGAAAGAAGTCGAGCCCAAAGGTAACTACTACACTCTTGTCAACAATCAAGAGGATACCAGTGATGGGAGGGGCAGCGGCTTCAGATATCCTAAAAAGGGAATTCTTATGCCTGTCCTGGGTTTTATTTTGTTGAATGGCGACCACGCCTCTGAGGAGGATACCTGGGAATTTCTGAATACCTTGGGCATCTATGAGGGAAAGAGTCACTTAATATTTGGGGAACCCAGGAAGCTTATCACTCAAGATTTGGTGCAGGAAAAATACCTGGTGTACCGGCAGGTGCCCAGCAGTGATCCTCCATGCTATGAGTTCCTGTGGGGTCCAAGAGCCCAAGTTGAGACCAGCAAGATGAAAGTCCTGGAGTTTTTGGCTGAGCTCAATGATACGGTCCCCACTACCTTTTCACCCCATTATGAAGAAGCTTTGAAAGATGAAGAAGAGAGAGCCCAAGCCAGAGCCCTAGGTACACCCAGGGCTGCCAATCCTTCCAAGGCCCGTGGGCGCTCCAGAGCCAAATCCAGCCACTGCCCTGTCCCTGAGTGATATCGAGGTGGTGTGTTCAGTTTTTCTGGTGGAAAGGCCTCTTAAGCATTTTCCTAATATGAAAAATATCTTTTCTTATATTAGTGTTTTTCTTGCATTTTTAAGTAGTATTCTTTTAGATAGAATGTTTATTTAGATTCAGAATGAAAGTTTATGAATGACATGGATCACACATATTGCCATTAACCAGGTTAAGAAGAAGAGTTTTGTTTTTGAAATACAAATTGGCAATACTTCAAACACTTTTGTGATCCAGAACAAGATAACATGGCTTTAAAATAGGAAAGTACTTTACACTAAAATACTTGGGAGCAGTAGATAGATAGATACACAAATGGATAGATAGATAAAGTAAAAATTGCTCACTTCTGTTTAAATTTTTTTTTTCCAATTACAGTTGTCAAAAATCTTATAATGGTTTCAGGTGTACAATATAGTGATTAGACATTTATGTAACTTAAAAATGTTCACCTGCATAAATCTAGTACCCATCTGAACCATACGTAGCTATTACAATGTTTTTTTTTATTATATTTCTTATCCTATATCCAGCATTACCTGTTACAGCCAAGACATGAAAATAACCTAAGTGTCCATCTGTATATTAATGCATAAAGAAGGTGTGGTATGTCTATAAAACTGGTCACTTCTTGTTTGCCTTTCTATACTTAGTCTTTCATTTGGTAAATGTATAAGCTGTATACCTGGATTTGCTTATGTTTTACATGAATGTTTGAAAATATAAATCCCTGTGAATCAGACCTTTTGGTTCATGGCTTATATTTTATACAATCATTAGTTGATCATCAGCTCTCTGAAAGTCTTCATGCATGCACTGGGAAGGTTTAGGCAAAGAAGCTCCTGCCCCTGCCCCTGCCCCTGCCCCTGCCCCTGCCCCTGCAATCATAGATTGTAGGGGAAGTTATCAAAATAAAAGAGTTACACATCACTTCATAAGGAACAGCAGAATAAGAGTGTAAAGAGGGGGTGGAGATAACATATTACTTAGTTTTCGTTGCTCAGCATAATTTAGTCCCATTGAAGGTCAGTAGGCAATCCAGGGCCACATCTAGTTGCTTCCCTTATCCTGAGTGTAGCCTGAGGTGGATTCTTCACATTGTGGTTGTAAATGCCTGTTGACCAGTATTCCTGATATGCACAAATAACTGGTCAACTTATTTTTTGAAGATAATTTTCTAGTGGTGATATTTCAACAAAAAGTTTATTTAGTTTCAGAATGTAAGTGTATGAATGACATGGATCATACACTTGTTGTATATCAAGTTTAGGAGTAAGAGTTTTGTTTCCTGACATACACATCGAGAATCCTTAAATAACTTGTGATCCTGAACATGACCTCATGGCATTAGAATGGGGATATCCTTGATAACGGGGAAAAAAACAAAAACAAAAACAAAAAAATAATAAAATAGGTGGGATAAGAACACACAGAGGGAGAAAAAAGTAAAAGTGATTCGATTTGGGTTTGCCTTATTCCATTCAGTCTTTCAGTTTCTAAATTTAAAAGTTATATACCTGGTTGTCCTGATTATTCAAGAATGGGTGAGTTTAAGGGAATTTAAATGCATGCAGCCACTATGGAAGACAGTATAGATAGTCCTCAAAACATTAAAAATAAAACTACCATATTATACAGCAATTCCATTATTGGGTATTTTTCTAAAGAAAATGAAACCACTAACTTGAAGGGATAAATATACCACCATATTCATTGCAACATTATTTACAGTTGCCAAGACATGGAAACGAGCTAAGTGCTCATTGAAGAATGAATGAATAAAGGAAAAGTGATACACATGCACACACACACACACAATGATATGTCATTCAGCGATAAAAAAAAAAAAGATATCTTGCCATATGCGACAGCACAGGCACCACTGGAGGATATTACATTAAATGAAATAAGCAGTACATTTCAAGGGGTGTTCTTTCAACAGATGGAGACAAATACTGCATGGCATCACTTATGTGGAGTCCTTAAAAAAAAAAACAACACATGAAATTGAACTCATAGATACATAAAACAGATTGTTGGTTGCCAGAGGCAGGGGGTGGAAGGTGGGTGAAATGGGTAAAGGTAGCCCAAAGGTACAAACTTTCAATTAATAAAATGAATAAACCCCGGGGATACAATGCGCAAAGTGTACATGAATAAATACAGTGTTAGATATGTGAAAGTGGCCAAGAGAGCAGATCTTAAAAGACTAATTATAGGAAACAAAAAATAGAGAACCTATAGATAAAAGTTTTTGAGTGTGTATATTAGTTTACTTGATAACAAGCTACCTAAAATTTAAGAGCTTCAAACTACAGACCATTAGTATCTCACAGTTCTGTACATCAGAAGTCTGAACATGAAGTAGCTGGGTTCCCTAGGTGGGAACTCTTACAAAGTTGCAATCAAAGTATCAGGTGGCTGTATTTTCATATGAAACTCAGGAGCTCCTTCCGACACCATGCATGTTTGGGACAGAATTCAGTTACCGGAAATCGAAGGTCTGAGGTGCCATTTTCTTGCTAACTGTTGGCTAGGGGTCATTATCAGGTTAATCTTAGGTCCTTGCTATGCTATGCAGCTCCCTCCATTTTCAAAGCCAGCCATGGAGAACCTCCCTCTCACTCTTTGAATTTCTCTGTCCAGGAAACACCCCTTTGCATATAAGGATTCACCTGACTAGGTTTGATCCATGGAGGATATTCTCTCTACTTGAAGAACAACTGATTTGGGACCTCAATTACATTTACAAAATCCTTCACAGCAGCACTAGATTAGTATTTGATTAATTAACCCAAGGCAGATGTGTGTGTACCCAGAGTCAGGAATCTGGTAGGCCATCTTGGAATTCTGCCTACCAGAGTCCCTGGATTATGTTAATTATGTTTGTAATTAAGAACTTTACCCTTTCAAAATATATAATAAGATAAATATTGTTATATATGATTGCCTCAAAATAATCTGGGGACTGAGTGTGGCCATAGATGAAACAAGATTGTCCACGTGTTGCTATGGCTGAAGCTGGGAAATCAGTATCTAGAACGGCGATTACATTATTCTTGGTACTCTTGCAAAGGTATAGATTTTGTCACATAAGTTATTCCAGAGCACGGAAAATGAAACAAAACTTGCAAAAGTTTCTTATGAAGCCAGTATAACACTGCTTTTTAGACCAGGTAAAGGTAGTTCAAAATTACTTAATTTACTTTTATATTACTTAAGAATATTATTTAATTCCAATGTTACTGAAGAACTTTGGTGCAAAAATTATCAAAATGTTACCTTACAGAATTTGACAATATATAACAAAAGTAAATATGCATTTACCTGTGACGTAGTAATTCCACTTTTTAAGACTTACCCTGAAGACACACCAGCAACAATAGGAAAATACATAAATGATCATCAACATATTGATTGAAAAACATGGTATATTCACACTGTACTATGTAGCTATAGGAAAGAATGAGTGTGATCTTTGTCAATTAATATAGGATGTTTTTTTATATATACACATAATGTGGGAATTTGGGGCTAACTTCTATGATACCATGCCCAGTGCCTTCCCATTTCATTATGGAGAGGCTTTGAGAGATAAGAAAGAGAAAGCCTGAGTCAAAGCTGAAGCATGGCTCCCCTATTATTGTCATGACCGATTTTCAGTCCAGGGCATATTCTGAAACTCCTCCTATCCTTAGTGAGTTCTAAGGCAGAGTCTTCACTTTCTGGGTAAAGAAAGCAGCAATTTCTAACTAGTGAGAAGCCAAGGTGGGGCTCCTGAGAACACAGTGCATAACATGTTTGTGTTCCCATACAACATGGTTAAATTGGATATTTATTATTTTTTATTTTTTTCTAGTTTTCTAGTTCTTCCTTTCACTTAGACTTTTATTTAGCTTCATAAACCAAAGATTATGAGTGACATACAACATATATTTATTGGAGTGTATCAGGATGAGAACTAGGAATTTTGGTATTATGTAACAAATTGAAAATCCTTGGATAATTTCTTGTCATTCAGAACAAGATAGTATGACACTGGAATATGGATTTTTGTGAAAAGAAAATTACTGCACAGTAAAGTCTGTGTGATCATGAGATGTTTTTTTTTTTTTTTAAAAAAAGTAAAATGTAGTCAATTATTGGGGGATTTTTATTCCTTTCAGTTTTTTTGTAAAATTGCAGTATATGTACCTGGATTAGCTTATCTTTTTCAAGAATGTAGGAGACATTAATTGATAATATGTTTGCCTTCTTGTAAACTGGCTGTTAAATGTCCAAATATTAATTTACCATCTGCTCTTTGGAATGCTCTTAGCTAGTACTGGGGATGTTAAGAAACATAGGCCATATTGTACTGCCCATAGAATTTTAGAGTCTAATAGCAGCTTTCTCATAAACTAGGTGGTGAGATGTGCCTAAGATCTAAAGAACCAGTAAAACTAAGGGGTTAGAAGCAGGGCAGGAGGTTCCAAATGGGGAGTCTAGTGTAGATTCCTTCAGGCAAGGCAATTAGAGACTTCGGGAAAGTGAAAGTTGTAAGGTGGGAGGCAATTTTAAGTTCACAGCATGGTGGGCTAGATTAGTGTGATAATGGTGGGCAATGTCCAGACCCACAGAAAGTCTCAGCTGAGAGACTTACATCTGGAATGGGAAACTACCATTAACAGTTACTTTGGAATTATGAGTAAACCAGAGAGAATCTCCACCAGGAACAGGAATGGAACGCATCCTGTGCTCCTGCCTAGTACAGGTGAGCAAAGTGCACAGACTGGGTGTTTTATGCACATCATCTACAGGGCATTTCAGAGAACAAAGGTTGATAATTTATAATTGAAAACTCAGCGGCCATTGGTCTGATAGTCTGTCGTGGGTTACGGAGTCAGGCTATTCTATTAAAATGATATTCAAAGTCTTTTTTTGTTGTTGTAATTTGGCAAATACTAAAAAAGGTGTAGATTTTGGTGATGGTGAAATGAAT